AGCCTGAGAGAATGTTTTCTCTCCATGTGACCCTCCTTAGGCACACTCTACATCATCGATCACTTTCTTCTGTGGTCCCATAATCTCCTTGATCAGAAAATTTGGGACACAACTGAGTTACATAATGTTACAGTATAGGTTCTCCTATGTCCTGAGTCCTCACTGACCTTGAAAGGCTAGCGCCAAAATGTTGACTGTCTTCATAGCCCTCCTTTTTCCTAATTTTTGGTCTGCAAACTTAAGTCATTAACTCTCCAGAAGAGAAGCTTAATGATATTATTACCCTGTAACAGAGGCAGTTGAGTTTAACCTCACTATCTTTCTGAATATCAAACACCTTATACATAACATGGAACAGGTATTTTTCCATCAAGTGTTGATATGTTAAACTTTAAATCCCTACACAATGTGAAGAAAAACATTTATTTTTCTTGTTAAACTGCTCAGGCTAGGATTTCGAAGACTAATGAGTGGGAGAGGTGAAAGCTGACATCCTTACCGTGTTTGTGGTCTTGAAGGAGAAGCTTCTAGTATTTCTCATTGATTAAAATGCTCACTGTTGAATTTTCTTTAGTGGCATTCCCTATGATAAGGTAGTTTTTAATCTGGTCTGACTCATTCTGTGTCAGTTTGGATGATCATGTGTTTTGGTCATTTTTCCTTTGTTCTGACAGTTTTTTTCTGGACAGTTAACAACTTAAGTTTGCAGACCAAAAATTAGGAAAAAGGGTTATGAAGACAGCCAACATTATATTGATTAGTTTCTGTATTGGGAACTATTCTTGTACTCCAGGAATGTGTCCCACTTGGTTGTGGTCTGTAAGTCATTAATAGACTACTGAATTGAATTTACTTGTGTTGAAGATTTTTTTGTACCAGCAGTTATTAGAAATAATGATCTTGTCTTTTTTCACTTTGCTGTCAGGGCAATGTTGGTCTAAGTGAGGAAATGTTTTCTCTTCATTTGTTTGGAGAATTTTAAAAAGGATTGGTTTTTTCTTTTTAAAGCATTTGGTAGAAGTTTTCAAGGAAGCCATCAGACTAGGGTTTTGATTTTTTTGTTGTTTGGGAAATTTATTTAAAAAATTAATTAATTAATTTGATACAGGGTCTTGCTATGCTGTTCAGACTCGTAGTGATCCTCCTGTCTCAGCCTCCCCTGTGCTGGGATTGCAGATGTGTGCCATCACACTCACTTATTGGCCAGCATAGCATGTCCCAGGTCTGGCACGGTATATAGTACTTGAGATTGAACTCTGGTCATTGCACTTGCCAGGCAGGTGCTTAGCCTACTGGGCTATCTCCTCAGCCCTGTGTAGGGATTTTGACTACAGTTTTGATTCCTTTTTAGGGGGAGAGGTAGGAATGTACTGGGAATCAAATTCAGGTCCTCACACTGGCCAGGCAGGCACTGGGCCACTAAGCTATATATTACCCTGTCTCCTGATTACGTTATTTATTACAGCATTGTTTTGATTTATTATTCTCAGTGTAGTATAATTAGTAATGTGCTTGTAGGAATTTTTCTGTTTTATCTAGG